ATTATATATATTATATATATATACATACATACATACATACATACATACATAGATATAGATGTATATATATATATATTATAGGTTATATATTATAATAGTCTTCTTGTCCTTGCTATCGTTCGCACTGTTTCGACTTTCGAGGCTCGGAGCTCTTCTTCTTGATCACGCAGAATGCAAAGATTGGTTCGCTCATCCAGGAGTCCGGTTGCACTTCCTGGCGTTGGGGGCATCCTTTTTTTTGGGGGTTGAGGTTTGAGGTGACATACGGATCAGATTTTAGGTCCATTTCGAAGGCAGGGATTCCTTACAGGGAGCCCTGGCCCTAGCATGACACCAGTGCAAGACAAGGCAAGAGCGAACCGGAGCACATCCCATTTATCAGGTCCCGTCCCTCCGGCAAGCGAGTCCCACGCAGCGCTCATTCGAGGCGACAGCCTCTGCGCCGAACTCCGGCGACACGGCAGACTTAGGAGGCGCATCGAGAGACCTGTGATTTCGGAAGCTTTGTCGGATGCTCTTTGACGAAATGATCTAAGGTTTGCCAGTAGCTTGGGACTGTTGGGTGAGTCAGTATAACTTGCCACTAATTCCGCAAGTGCGGACTTGCAAGGGCTTGCAGCCAGCGAGCTGGTTTTGCAGGTCTCGCCAGAGGTGAGCGCACCTACGACGTCCAGGTGCGATCCTAGACGACGCAGCATCGCACTAGGAGGAGCCGGTGTCGCCAAGAAAATCGAGTTTCACAGAATATGTAGGAGCAGAATGACCCTTCATTCGCTGCAAGAGCCTCTGCTAGCTTATCTTCGCCCGACGCCTTCATGCAATACTAGAGGTAAGTGAGGATCTTGTATTGCTAGGTTTAATGTAAATCAGGCCTTACAAAGTCGGGATTGCGAGTTCTGCGTGCATGTCTCCAGCGCAAAATCAGACACATTACATGGCAAAGGTTTTGATGATGGACCCGTGTCGAAACCAAAAATACATGATCAGTCCAAGTCCTTCAATTCAAAACGTGCAGGACCAAGGTGGCACCAAAAAATACATAACTGCATTCCAAGTTTTCCTTCACCTCAAAATGTGCAGGGCCAAGGTAGCACCAACAAACACATGACGTGAGTCTTCAATTTGCCTTCAATTGAAAAAGTCGTCACACCAACCACGACATATTGGGACATTTCTAAAGTGAACAATTGCACAAAAAGACGCGAAATGTCTTGCAAGGATGAGCAAGGGTGAAGGGAAGAAATCCATTTTACTTGGTCAAAGGTCTATGTGCATGATGTCTGGAAGACAATTTGTGACACAAACAACCCAGGCTGTCTTGCATGTATGTTTCACTTGGCAATCGATAACGTGTTTGGCTCAAGGCATGACTAGGAAAGGAGTGCTAACTGCATTTATCAGCGGTAGGCCTCTGTGTTGGTTGTGTCTTGTTCGCTTAACTATTCTAGGGCTTCCCGGATTTAGCTGCGAGGTGCTCTTCGGAGATCGGCGGGCAGAGCATTACAGAGCCGCTCCACTCAGAGCTCAGGGGGCTTCGGCTCGAGGGTTACCCGGGAAGGTTCGCGCAGGGTTTGGGCCTGTGGCTGTAAGCACGGATAACTTCGGCTTCGGAGATGTGTTAAACTTCTGATTTCAATCTTTCTCTTTCTCGCACTCGATGTGCAATCTCAGAGTTGAAGTTGTGTTCGAGTCTGTGGATGGTGAGAGGGTCTGGCAGGCTTTGCCGCAGAGGACATGTGAGGAAGGGCCCGGAAAAAGCAGCTTCTGCGGGTGGCAGGCCGCAGATGCCGCCCTCAGCAAGAACGCGAGGTGTCGAAATCAACAAATTATGCTCCGTACTTAGACGTATTGAGTCTCCAGGAACCTGTGAGCAACAGCGAGCTTTGAAGGCATATACCCCTGTTTTTGAGTTCGGTGATATGGTGATCATGAAGTGTGTCTAGCCGAAGTACACCACTCAGCCGAGTCTCTGCCTTGTGTCGTGGTTTTTGCAATCATGGCTTCAGTGTTGCTCTCTTGATACGCTCTTAAAACCTAACCCAAGCTGTAAGCAGGCCTGACAATCCAATCTGCTAGGTTGTGATTTGGATGGTCCTTAGAACCCCATCATAGCAACTGCTTCGATTGAAGCATCCGCCATCCCCCAAAAACATGTGCTTTCAAGAGTGGAAGTGAAAAGGTTCACTCAGCTTATGGTTCGGGTTCTTCGCAGCATCGGTTGCATGAAACTCGTCACACTGTGATGCCGTGCAACATATATCTCCACGGACATACAGCTGCACCTGATCCTCGAAGTGGAGCTGTAGGAAACAGGAACATCCACCGGAGCTCAGGCTATCGCGCGGTCTCTCATCGAGGTGGTGGCGCAGAAATCTTCGAAGCCCATCCTATTAGGCCCAGCAGCTTTCGACGAACAGTTGGCAGCAAAAGCCATTCTCAATGGCAAGAGAGGGATGATAACAACCCCCGAGAGCACTTTTTGAAGTAGTTGCGTCCGTACTTTGAGAGCAACCGAATTCCTTGCAAAACGATAAGAGTAAAGAATGTCGATAGCGAATTTTCGTAACATTAGCTCAGGTCATACAGCCCCAAAGTCTTGTAAAACGAGAAGAGTATAATAACACGATAACCATGTTAAGGGTTCAAGCGAAAGGGTGGGGGGGTTCTCACGCAGAGGATTCCTGTGGAAACACCTCCTGTGACCGGTCTGTAGTTTGTTACCGACATATCCCATGGCAGTGTTTTTGCTGGTTTTCTCACCACCTGACAAGACATGTCAGGGAGATTGAAATGTTGCTGACCAGTGTCCTGCTGCCAACGTATGTCACGATTAGATGTATGCCCCATGCACCATTTCATTCGTCCTGATGTTGTCCGCGGTCTGATGGGCCTGCCAGGTATCCAACTCAAGGAGCACAACGTCCAAGTGTTCAGGCCTTGGTTCCAGCAATTTTTTGTGTAAGCTTGCTTGGACCGCGTGGCTTGCACCTGCGGGGCATGGGCGGTAAACTCGCTGCCCGTGTATGCGGTCGCAGTCGGGAACCCGTTTGAAGACAAGTGCACTTGCCATCCTGGCCAGGGCCATTCTGCAGCAGCTCCGCGATAAGATCGGCCCGGTCGTGGCTGCAGAGGAGGTACGTTGCTCCTGTATACCGGGAGCTTGGCCACAGATGATCGAGATCCATTAGCTGTCTACCTCCTTGACGTTGAGCTCAGCCCTATCAGTAGCCAGATGCTGACATCCTTTGAATGTGGGGCTTCAAGAAAATGTGCTACCGTTTCCGAGTCCCTGAAAGCCTGTCAGCTGAACACACGGGGATATCCTCGAACTCGACACCTGTTTCCAATTTAGAGCGTTCATGTCGATGGATACTTCCGTCTTTGGTTGGGATGACACAGATATCTCGGCTTCGATTCTGCAGTCGCATGAGGTTTTGCATTACTGTGGATCGCTGGTCGTGCCAGATTGCAACCAATGTTATTCGGGCTCTGTTGCGTGGTGTTGACAAGAAAGCCCCATCCAAATCCTGACCGGTGTTCCTGCTTGTGCGAGGTGGATGAGTTCGCGGATTTTGAGGGGCGGGGTTCGTGACCTTGCCTGATGAGAAAAGCGCGCGAAGTCCTTGCGCTGAGTGCTTGTGCTTGATGTTGGCAGAGTCCAGGGCCCACAGGCTGAACTTGTCCCCCCGGCTCGGAGCCTCACCTGCCCACGCATCACCTGGATTATCTGAGCTGCCGAAGCTGAAGCAAACAAGTAAGACCCATAGAATGAACCCTTGCATGCAGGCGAGCCCCAAGCCATGAGGAAAAACCTTTGTCACTTGTCTCACCATGGACGATACAGCAAACTTGTAAACAGGTCGGCATACTAGTTCGTGTTGTGCCGTGAGATTTTCATACTCTACTCTACGTTGTGCCAACTATATCTGGCCTCTTGCGTTCTAGTGGCATGCTCTGTTATCTTGCAATGTTTTACAAGTACAAACCCATCATATTTAGACCCGTGTGTTGGTGCCAGGCCAAGAAGTTCGACTCGCCGACCTTCTCTGTGCATGCCGCGGGCTGAGTGTCGACTGAATGAAAGGTGCGGCAGTCAAGTGTAAAAAAATAATATATAATATATAATTTAATGTAAAATTAAGAGAGTGCAGAGTCTGGCCGCGGGAACGTAGCAAGCCCTGCGGCCGCAGGTGGGCCTGGACACCATCAAGGTCCGCTCCCAGTACCTGTGGAGGCAGGTCTGCCGAGCTTGGGACGCAGTCGAATACAGTCCAGAGTGAAAAGGGTTCTAGCACTGGTCCGCTTGTTTCATGTGCTGTTTTATAGCCTTCAGGCTTCTGGAGAGCCCTTGCAAGGGCAATGTCACCCGGCATGAGGCCCGGCATCCCAGTTTGTGATTGGCAGGTGAATCAACCTTCCCGCTCAACCCATATTCACCCTATTGCCCTATTCCCTGTGCTATGTCGTTTAGTTCGAAACAAAATCCCAAGGTTATGTTCAGACCTGGATTTCAAAATGAAGCAGTGGCTAGTGATCTGAGGGTGTGGGCCAAGCCAACATCATGACTGAGCTAATCCAAGCCGCGCGCACGCCATGCTCCTGCCTCAACCTTTCACATCCCAGGCCGGATTTCCGAAAGCAGGGTATAGGCTGAACCGCTGCGGCGCCATTTTCAAACGTATGGCGATGTAACCTTAAAAGTTCAGCCCGACCCTAGATTTTGTCTGAGGTTTTCGGTCACACTGAGGGTGTTCGACCGATGGTAAGGGGGTTAAGGCTCATGCGAGCGAGCATCATTGGGGATGAGTTCGTCAGTGCACCTGTCTTCAAACCAAGCAGAACCAGGAGCGGCTCCCGCCTGCAAGTATGACTAAGTATGAGCTGCAGTGAGCTCTGAAGTCTTCCAGGGGAGCTGCCAACTCAACCTCGTGTTACGCCAAGCAAGGGTTGCCACTAATGGGTTCCTCTGCCCAGCTGTTCCACTCCACCGCGGAGGATGGTCGCCACACAGTGCGGATACACAAGTACTCCTATGAGGCCAGCCGGCCTGAAAACTGCCGGCTGCCGGGTTTGTGTTGAAACACGTTCTGAGGTACTTCTGCAGCTGTCACAGTCCACGCACCTCGTCACGACACTTGCGAAACACCTGAAGGACAGTTTGGGCCCTGGAAGTCTTAATTCTCTGCAACTGATGCTGCCAGGCGCTTCTCGCTTATGGCCAGTATCTGCACGAGGATCGAGTGGACTGCAGGCGACTTTCCTGCAAAGCTTCATGTGGGAGTGCAGAAGCACCTGAGAGCCGGCCCCCGTGCTGGTTCACAAAGTTCCATATAGTAACTAATATAGTATAACATCGTATGGTATAATATAGTATAGTGTAGTGTGGTAGAGTATGGGTGAACCATAGTCAGTGGCAGATCGGCAGTCACAGCGGCGAAGCAATTGGCAAGTTGAACGGGGGTGTTGTTGCTGGCGTGCTTGATTTCGTCACCACTGTTTCTTAACCCTAAGCCCGGAACCCTGACTGCGGAGTAGGAGGTAAAACAATCCCTGACCCTTAAACCCGAAATTCCCTTGGATCGCGGTCTTTCGGGCAAGTGGGGGTCCCTTTGCTTTTGATGCGACTAGCATCAGGATCCCGACGAGCCTCCACCTCTGGTATCGGTTGCTTTTTGTTTGTGGGCTTAAGAGGAGAAAACATTGTTCCTTGCCATCCTTTCTTTGGCGGACTCTCTCTAACGACCTGGCTACGAACTCCCTGCGGTGCGACTTTGTCAGCTGGGCGGGTATAGGAAAAATCCCCTTATACACTATTATAGCGAAACATACTGCCACCATAAGTCTATAAGTGTAACAGTCAGTGTTTTTTTCTTCCTCCTCTGCTCCCTAAACCCTAAACCCTAACCCTCCTTCACTTTGCGATTTCAAGGCCGGAGGTGGCCGTGGAGCTCCTGGAGCTGGCTGAGGCCGGCTTCGCAGGGGGGATGGGAGCCTCTACTCCATGACTCTTCCAAACTCGATAGTATGTCAGGTGTTTGTTGATAGTAGAGTCTGTTATATTAGAGTATGTCGTGGTCTGGTCTTACTAAGTCTAGTATGCTATAGTACATTATTTTCGTCTGTGAAATTTCGTACATAATCGTAGGGCGAAGGGAATTTTGGAAGAGACTCCTCGATGCGGAGTGGAGCATGCGGAGGAGCGCTTGAAGACAACTTCCTGGACGTGTATCCGCACGATCAAATATTGAATGGATGAATGGATAAATGGGCTTCCGGCTTGTTAGTTGATGGTGCAGTTCACCACAAGTCCGGTCGTTTTATGCCACTCCTGACATCGTCACCCCTGGCCGTCGTGCATCCTAGCAGAACCATTGGTCGCATGTTGAGGAGTATGTCGACTCGACCGGACTGGCCGAGAAATGTGCTCAGCTGGTGAGGCCGGGAGTTGATGCAAAGAGGCCAAGGATCTCAATGCTTCCTGTTCTTCGCGATGCTCTTGAGTCCATGTATCGGTGCTGACTTCAGTGACGTGCTGTTTGGTGGAGGAGTGCTTACAGTAGGAGTTGCGTGTCTGCCAGCTTGCCACTTCCGTGAATCTTCGCATGAGGCTCTGCAGTATGAAAGGGGTTTTCAAGATCCGATGAAGTTGCTTTTGCAGCCGCAGCAAGAGGCCAAGCTCTCCAGCCCACTGAATTTCGTATGCTTTGGCTTGACTGGTCTTTCCTGCTTGCTTGACACACTGCTTCCTTTAAGATTAGCGACGCTGCGACGCCATGTCAGAAAGCCTTGCCACCACCAGGGTCAGCGCGTCCATGGGACCCTCCAGCGGACATGTCATCGAAGACGACGCGGCCCGAGGCCTGGGCAGGGCCATTGCCAATTCGATGGACCCCTTCGAAGAGCTGCTCCGGCAGCTGCGCATGTTCCACCAGGGTGAGGTGCAGCGTCTTCGGGACGAGGTCCTGAGCCTACAGAGCCAGAGGCTACAGACAGACATGCAGGCACCATCCTTCTTGCAGAAGCAGACAGACGCAGAGGTGATGGAGATGGCGGAGGCAGTGGCGGAGTCGCAGGGGATGAACAATCACGAGGAGAAGGAATGCGATAACGAGCTGCCAACTTCCCTGGATTCCGCCGCAAGCAACCCTCAACAGCGGACGAGGTCTTTCGCAGACTCCAACAATCACGAAAATGAGAAGGGCATCAGGGCGAAGAAGTCCGCATCGGTGCTTGAAAAAGTGCAGAAGAAACAGAGCCAGTCTTCCTGGAGGCCGGGGATCAAGCAAAGGTGTAGGAGCCTCCGATTACCACGAAGTATTTCAGTGAGACGACCAGAGTATGAGTGCGGCCCGTACAGATCCAGCTGAGAACACTGGTCACCACCATCGTTTCTGTCCGTGCGCTTGCTTTGCTTTCCAGGTGGGATGGTAACTTTCGGAGCTTCCTCCAGCGGATTCTCCGGCCTCGTGGCAGCCATTTAGTTTCTGGCAGCAGCCAGCCGGGCTCTTGTTCCTCTGCGGGCATACACCACATGCTTGAAATGGAATGGTTTCATGACAAGGGTAGAGTAGTTTTGTGCATCAGGGCATCGAGCGAAACTTGATCTTGCAAGGCATCCGGCCATTGACTGCACCATGAGCTTCCTGATCGTCTGCAACGCCATGGTCTTTGCTTTCGAAGCTCAGTATCTCGCCGAGAACGATCGAACTCTCTCTCTCTCTCTCTCTC